CTTGACTATTCAAGCAGGAGTAAAAGGCAGCATCTGTCTTTTCAGAACACTCAGAAGGGATTTCAACAGTGAGCAGCACTGCAGCCTTAGGGCTGAGGCTGGCCTATCCTCAGCTGCTGGTGAAACAAAAAAACCTAAGCAGTATGGATTTGGGGGACACAACCCTCATTTCCAGCATCTATTGGCAACGATGATGGCTTTAACTTACTGTGTTTATAATTGCCCCAAAGTACTTTTATTGGCTTAGCCTGCAAAGGGTGGCTTGCCCAGAACAAAAATTTCCTCTACAGCTTCAGAAACAGTACATCACATTTCTGGACCTGTCTTCTCTTCTCTGTCTTGTGCACAGATGCAAAAAACACATTAAAATCTATGTCTCCTTTGTAGCTTCTTTAATTTCTATTGGGCCCAGCAAAGCCAAATGCCGAGTATAAAACAAATGAACAGATCTATTTTATATGAATGTCCATTGCTGCAGCCAGCCCTCAGAGGCCATCACTGAACTCACCTTTCCCACTACCCTCTGTTCAGGTGCAACAAACTCACCTACCAGTGAGTTTCTAGTTTAGGATACAGCGCTGAAAGCCAGGATAAGCTTGGGCCCTGAATCTAGTCCTAAGGCTCTGGGTGAACTAGAGCAATGCTTGAAATAGCTACTCTCTTACTTTACCTTGTGACTGCATTTCCCAGGCCTATTCAATGCTTTGGAAATACTTTGGATTAGAATACTTGTGTGTGAAAGGTGAGAGACAGTAGATGAAACAGCATTCTTACAATATGCTAGGAGAGAATCATGAAACTTACTACAGAGTGTTTTTGTTGGAATGAAGACAATAAGAGGATGTGTATAAGGTGAATCCACTGCACTCATCTAGAAATGTATAAAAGTTCAACCAAGGCCCTAATTTACTTTTGTTGTGGTCAGTAGAGAACCGACACAAGAAACTTCCTATGCTGTGTTTTGCAGATATTTCTGTACAGATTTAAAGATATGTATGCTTGCAGCGAGGAATTGCTAAGCAACTGGTGAACTGTATGCAACTGGAAATACAGAGGTACAAGGGCAAATCTATGTCATGGCATCACATTGCACAGTAAAAGCTTACATGCAGCAGTGTACATCTTTCCTGTACACAGGGAAATCAGACACAGAGAAAGAGTATTTTTATTTTTAGAAGATAGTAACTGAACTCAAGTGAGATCATCAGCTGATATAGGTCAAAGCATTGTACGTGCCAAAAAAAAAAGGCTGTTCTCTTCAGGCATTTTTTACTGTCAGAACAAAATGAGATTAGCTTGGAGGTTGCCAGTTAGGTCTTTCAGAAAGCTCTCAAAGTGGGGCCCAGCTGAGGCCCGGCCTGGCTGGCTGGCTGGCACCTGACACAATGTTTTATGTTTTTGTTTTCAGTCTTGAAAATAAGGAAATGTGGTCTGCTGCCTGGGGCTTCCCGAGAGAACCCTGGTGTGCTTATTTCAGTTCTAAAACAGATCTGTAGAGCACTCAGCAGGGCTGCAGGCCCTGACAAGTGACTGCTCAGCAAGGACTCTTGGCCATTGAGCCTGCTGTAGTACCAGCACCGTAGTCTGAGTGGAGATTTCTCTCCTCCCTCCTGCAGGTACTCACTCAATCCTGGAACAGTCAGGGGAGAGGTATTTGGAGTTGGTCACTTTAAAGTCCTACCAGCAGGGAGGAAAGGGATGAACATAGCAAACAGCATCTTAAAGGAAGACAAACATGAATGGGGAGGGGGAGAATTTGGAGGTTAAGGGGGGGATGATGTCTCCCCTTGAGTATCATATGCACATTTAGCCTTCCAGGTCCCTCAGGAAGGTTCACAGGACCTCTCCAGTACGGGCCAAGCTTTCTCTAGCCAGCTTTCTCAGGGAAGCCACTTTGTCTCACTGAGAACTATGGCCGTGGGCTGACAAAAGGAGGGGAATGTGTGCACAACACTTTAAAGTGGGTTAAATACTTTTGCACTGCTTTAATGGTGTTGGTGTTTGCATGCATCAGTGGCATATTGTGTAGTAATTTGAGCTGCAATAGCAAATTTGGTGGCGTAATGCGCTTTAAATGCCTTGGGGTGCGGCAAACTAAAATTCCTGTGAGGAGTTTTAGTTTGCTGCTCTACAGATGTGGAGCGAAGCGCCAGGCTTCATGACGCTCAGGGGCTCTGCTGGAAGCCCATGCAGGCAGCCTGGTAGCAGCCTGGGAAGGCAGGCCCAAGATTTTTTTCCCCACCCCCTGGAGTCTGCCTGCCTGCCTGAGCTGCATGGGGGCCTGGTGCTTCCCCCGCGGCTGTGGTGCCCCCCAGGACTGCCTGAGCTGGGTACCTGCAGCTGGGTGGTGCCTGGGGGGGCTGCCACTGCCACGGAGGGTAGCACCAGCCTCCCCACACTCCCCAGGGACCGCTCTGACCCCCCGCAGCTCGCCCTTCCCTCCCCGCCACTGGAGAGGCAGGTAAGTTTGGGTGTGTGCACCACATGGGGGTTTAAAGGGCCCTAAATTGAAGCAGTGTTTTTAAAACCCCACTGCTTCAATTTAGGGCCGTTTCATCTACACATGCCCTATTACAACAAGGTTATGACTGCACATTCTTTTGCCTTCTAACATTTCACTCAGAGACAGATATATCTATGAATATGATCTCTTCCACATGGAAAATGGAAAATGGAACATTTGCTTTGACAGAAAAAGGAGGCTGATAGCAAATAGTGTGAGAACCACTGCTCTCAAAAAGGGCTCTTCTTCTCAATGTGGGCTGCAGTGAAGAGGATTTAAAAGCACCTCCTGATCTAGACCCGATAATCTGATCACTGCTATGGTCAAAATCCAAATTTCAAATTTTTATCATGCCTGTGTCACTGGCAATCCATATTACTGCCAGACAGAAGTGCTGAATTTATCAGTGTCAGCACAATTAAAAGCTGTCGAGAAAGAATTGATTTTGGTTTGACTCCTAGGAGTCAGGGAAATAACACAGATTGCATAATCCCATGAAAAGCACTTATTTCAAAGGATGGAAAGCATTTAAAAAGCTAACTATTGCCTTCTCCCCACACCCCAAGGAACTGCACTATGCACTTTATGGTTTCCATAAACACAGTCCACCTGATTCAGCATTTCCCTCCTACGGGTAAATGAAGCTTCTTGTGCTGCAGGCATTTGTGCCCTCACAGGACTAAATTATTGGCCACAGAACCATGGGATGTAGCATATAAAGTTAATTTTGTCCATGTTTGTAGCCCATAGCATTAAGAGATTAAAAGCTTAATTCTAAAGGGAAATCAAGTTGCCGTATATATATACAATGCAGATGAGACTATTTGATGACGTAAAACATTACCCTGTGCTGTCAGAGTGCTGTGAGTTGTCTTTCTAGCTAGGATAGACTGTGTTCCTCCATTCATTTCCATCACCATCTGAGGTTGGTAACAGACAACTGGTTTACTTCAGGATAAAGAATTTTATCCTGGAATCTTGCAGACATACACACTCATTATCCCACTTCACGTACCTGTGAAGTAGCTGGATTAACACTTTGCTCCAGATAATGAAGGATAATTTGAGGAAAACATTTAAACTGAGCGTGTATATGACTGTCCCAGCCTATTTTTCATACAAGTCAAAACCCAGGACAATCAACTCTGGATTAAACTGGTCACCTGTTTTTAGCCTACCAGAGGCAGGGAAGATTTGCTCTGTATAGACTACCTCAAGAAAATGGATGCTGACATCAAGAGCCGGGACAAGCCAGCTGCCAGTGAACTCCAATGGTGCCACAACCTCAGCCAAGTGACAGCCCATTTCCAGGTAATGTATCCTGCCCTCGACGAAGATAAGAGAGAATGGAGGAAGGAAAAGGAGAGAGTAGCCCAGCCTGCAGCCTACTCTCCCTGGTAGAGAGACCTGCAGCTTCTGCAGACAGATCTGTGGCTCAAGGACTGGACTCTTAAATCACCTCAAGACCCATCAATGAGCCATGGTAGAGATCATCCTCCGATTGAGGGACTGCTGACGATGCTATAATTTATAGCACAAGGTTTTGTGAGCTGAACTTTACTTTATTAGATGCTTACAAAGGAAGGCTTGTCTTAAAATATATATATAAGTCCTAAAACACAGACACAACTAACCTGTGTGCATGTGTGTACACGCACAGGTTAGTCATCTATCTATATAGAGACACACACACACACACACACACACACACACACACACACACACACACGAATTGCCCGTCAAGAATGACGAGGGGCATGTGGGCGCGAACAGAAGGGGGGAAGCTCGTTAGCCCTAACCTAACCTCCCCCCCCGCTGCTATCGCCTCTAAGGAGCGGGTGAGATGGGGGCTGAGAAGGTTGCCCAGCCATCCCCTCCCCTCCCCTCCCCTCCATCCCCCTTGGACAGCAGGACTGGACGGGGGGGAGGTGTTCCCGGTTACCCCCGTCATTCTTGACAGGCAATTTGCTAGTTCTTATATAATAACGGTCTTAGCCCATCTGTCTGTCCACTCCTGGGAGGCAGCTGTGGCGCGGGGTGATGGGTGGCGGTGCTCTGTCCCTGCACCCGCCTCCCCCCCATCATTCTTGATAGGCAATTTGCTAGCCTCTCTCTCTCCATCTCTCCAGAGTTTAGCACAAGGTTAGCCCCATAATGCTACAGGCTAAGCACACGCACAACATTGACTTGACACGCGAAATCCCGTCGTTTTGTGGCCAATAGCCCAGCGCTGCGAAGCGG